ACGTGAGATAAGGACTCAAAGAAAAATAAAATAAAGGAACAAGAAATACTACATTCTCAAAAATCTTAACCAATAAACATAATTTCGGAGACGATAAAGTGTATCTGCAAACTTAAAACGTGAGTAACATTGATCCTAGTTAATTTGGCAAAGAGGATTAGTCTTTTCTCTCTCTCCCTTATGATTGTTAGGAACTCGATGTAAATTCACGGTAGTAAAGTATCAGATGTAAATTGATAACGGATAATATCTAATTCTTGAGTAATAAATGGAATCAACTTTTAAATTGCATTTAGAATATATTCTCTCTTTTAATTAGATTAGACCAATACCCTCAATTCCTTATGATTCGACAGATGTATCCAACACTTTAAAGGTAAGGATCCATACTAAACAAAAATAATTATTTTGTGCTCGGAGGTAATAATTGTGTTCTATTCAAATAAATATAACCCAATTATTCCTTATCCAACACATAATACCGAATTACTGGAAAGGGCAAGTAATTTTCTATCGTAGTTCTCCAAATTACTTGGGTAATTTCGAATCCGACTTCGACGATTTTCCGATTAGCTAGATAATTCATTCGTTATTTCCCAATTACTTAATTGACGGGATGATTTAGTTTAATATTTCCAAATTTCCTTCTGTAATTTGGAATTGGAATAATGACACACAGAAAAAAAAAGTAAAATCAAGATTTTTTTTTTACATTCTCGAATCTGCAGTTTAGAATTCGCATCCGGCTAAAATTTAGAAACAAATAATAATTTCAGAAAATAAATAAATGAAATAAATCAACCAAAAAATGATGGTTTCAAGGCAAAAATATTCTGGAATCTATCGAATTAGGGAATTAAGTTCCCCTAATTCAATAGGAATGTGCTAAAGAGGGGAACCTCTTTAGCACATTTTCAAAATGAAAGACATTTTCTACATTTTGAATTGAACCTTTGAAAAAAAGGAAAAAAATAGTCCTAAAAGATTGGGCTCAGACGATTCAGCATCATCTGAAACGTGCAGATTCATTATCCCCTAAAGTGGACAATTCAGGTGAGATGTGCCAAAAGGTCGTATAAACACTTTCCCAGAGGATATGAAATCTCCACGTTTCAGATGTTTCTGAGTCATCTGAGCCTATCTTTTCGGAATCAAATTTTTAATTTTTCTACAAGGAATTTGAAAAATTTTGAAAATTCAGGCCAAAAGATCGTGTAAACACTTTCCCAGAAAATATGAAATTTCCACGTTTTGGATGATGCTGGAGGATGTGGCCCAATTTTACGGGACAATTTTTTTGTTTTTTTTAAGCGTAATTTTTTGAATTTTTCAAAAATTTGCCCCAAAAGGTCGTAAAAACGCTTTTCCAGAGAGAGAGGGGGGGGG